CATATGGTAATCAGTTCTCCACTTGCTGCACCCTTATTGTATAACATAGAAAACTGTTGGGCCATATGAAGCAGATGAAGCAATTGTCCATTGGCCTTTTCACTATTTTCAATGCAAGGAATATTCCATGTTCTTTAATCAGATTAGAATAAGAGAAGAATAGAAAAGAAAAATGAAAATTCATAGCACAAGAAAGAAAAAGGTCTGTTATTCCTGCTGAAAAATAAATAAATAAATATTGCTTATTCTCACATTATCTGGTTATTCCTAATATCCTTGTCTATGATACTGGAATTTCTCTCATACTTTGTAATATGTAGTTGAGCATTGCTATTTTTCACTTTGAACAATTAGAGGAATCTAAAACTAAGCCTATTCATTTCAGGTTGGATAATTCCTGCTTCTTAGATTTGCTTTTTTTTTTAAACTGAATTTTGAAAACATTATTCTAAGTATGTTTTGAAAGCATATACAATTGTGACATCTTAATGTGAATTTGTGCTCTTTATAAATTAAAAATACTTTAGTCATAAGAGTGTGAGATATTCAGTTCTAAAGCAAGAATTTGCTGTACATGTACAGGTAAAGAAGCAGCCTCTCTTCTTGGAGGTAAAGTACAGGTAAAGAAGCAGCCTCGATTCTTGCAAAATAGTTGTACAAGGCCAGGAAAATGGATGTACAAGACAAGAAGGCAGTGACAGGTTGGAGATATGTGATCACGCCCTATTGTTGTCTTCTTATACAATGGCTTCTTTAAGGAATCTCCAGCAGGTAGAATGAGCACACTCATGTCAAGGCCAAAGCATGTTTCTTGCTTTGGAGTCAAATAGTTCACAAATCTACTTGGTTTTCTTGCTAAACATCATAACAGTACTTCTTAGGTTTATTTAGTTTCACTGGCATTATAATAACAATTAATTCACATACATATAATTATTTTCTGTTGACTGTCATTGAGAATACCTGTTCATTTTCGTGGATTTTAAAAATTGATTTTAGTATTGTGTGAAATTGTATTAATTCTTCACAGAATAGTCTATATTAGAATGAAAACATGATATATTTATATAGAAAATAAGCTTTAACAAAAAGGCAAGGAATTTTACCTTTTTAATTAGAGACTTTCTTTAATTTCCTTTAATTTCAGTGAAGGTGAGTTTCACTGATGGCTAGATTTCAAGATTAGCCCAGTAGATCTCTCTCCCCCTCTCTCCCCCTCCCTCTCCCTTTCTGTGTGTGTATGCGGGGGGGGGGGGGGGAGTAGGAAAGTATTAGGTAAATGAAAAAGAGAGAGACAGAGATACTATTTCCAAAAGTATCACAATCAATTTTTGAAATTATGAAAGTTTTTGAAGAGTAAATGGGTTTAGGTACCGGATATACTTCTGAAATCCTTCCTTCCTTCCCATTTAAACTAAACTTATTATATTAAATTACAAAACAAAATTGCATTTTACATATGAAAAATAATAACTGTTATCTTTACAATATATCAATAAAGTCAGCACAACTTAATTTGCTTTCACAGATAAGCTTTGTAAAGCACAACACTGCATCCATGATAAGGATAATCTCTTATTGAATCCAGATTTACATCTTGAAGTTGATTCCTTGTGCATTATATACATGTGTCTTTGTCACAGATTGTCATGGTACTCAGTTCTCAATACAGGCCACTTGGAATATGTCATAGAAGTCTCCACCTGGTATCTGGAAGCCATAAGAGTCTGGATGGGAAGAACAGATTTAAGCTTAGCAAGACAAAGTGGCTGTTGGTTCAGAACATACTTAAATCTGGGACAATACCAGATTTAGTTCTCAGTGGGATTGCTCTCTCCCAGAGAGAGTCAGTGTTGAATCTTGAGAAATGTCCGAACAATTGGAAGATGTAGCTAGGAAGGCTTTCATTCAGATGCACTTTCAGTGCCAGTTGAGAGTCTTCAATGCAAGAAATGCTTGCAACTGTGACTCATGACCTTGTAATGTTGTGGCTATACTTGGGACCACATTTGAAGAAATTACAGCTGATATAAGATGCAACTTGCACATTTGCTAATTGGGACCAGCTGGTTTAAACATATAACACAAGTATTACATTTAGACATAAAATACTAGTATTGCACAAGCTGAATTGGCTGCCAGCTTCTTTCTAGGTTCAATTCAGGATTAAATTATCATCTTTAAAATCATTCATAGATTTCTACTTTCAGGAAGCTATTAAAAACCCGACTCTTCCTGTCTGACATGAGATAAATATTGATATCGAACTGATGACTAGATCGTATGAGATGGAATTTATTTTTATATCGTTGATTAGGTTTTTCTATAGATTAAGCAATTTTCTATAGATAAATCAATTAACGGGCACAAATTGCTAGAATCTGCATAAAAGATTCTGCAATAAGGTATCTCTCACTAGCACACAGACATTGTGGGTTAGTGCAGGATGCATAAATGATTATTTGTACCATAATTGTTAAAGAATCCATATATCATTATGAGAAACTTCCTTTTGATTGTAGCATTTCTTGTTACTAAAAATATGAGCTGCAGAGAGCAAGCTTAGTAATTTATGGCAACGGTTGATTCCCTGGTTTTCATTCTCAGGACTGCATTCCTCAATAAACATGTCAGTTCTTCAAAACCATAACCTTGAAGGTAGCTGGAGAATCTTAGTTTCAAGTAGTACATCGAATTTGATTATTCTGTGTTTCCCTCTGGAAAACCACCATAGTAAGATATTCTGAACATGCTAGTCAGACTTGCAGAGCTCTGTGGAATTATATTTCAAGGCTTGTTGTCCCCTGGTTTAGGATCCCAGTAAGCAGTGAAATTGCAGCAACTTTGTTGAGCTAAGTTAGACACAGATTTAAAGTTAACACTGCCTGCAGCATAATAATAAAGACTCACCTGAAGAAAGACAAGTGGGAGGGAAAGTATTGAAATTAAAGACTTTTTGTTCTTTCTAGTTACTTTCATATTATTACTATAACAAAGCACAAGAGAATTTCCTGTTCTCTTGGAAAACTGCCTTCTCTGAAATATTTTACCAAACTTCAGCAAAAAGACTACAGTCAAATAAGACTCAGATTAACATTCCAAACAATGCTGGTTTGTGCTAAAATATTCAGCAGTTAATAATATATCATTAACTATAAAAAAACGTTTTAAAATCGTACATTCCATAGTTAAATTGCAGGCAGTTTTGTAGGGTTCATTGGTTTGTTTATATCTGGGACTGGAACCAAACTGGCTTTCTAATACAGTTATAATATTCCCAGTTTCTTAGCCATAGATTTTGGAATGGCAAAGAACTGTGCCATTGTACTGACTCCAACAGAAACCCCTTATAATATAAATGGCATTCCTTCAATTAACAGTTATTAATAACCATCCATATATTACCCCATCCATGGTTAAGGTAGGGATGGGCAGGATGGAAATGATTAGGGGAAATAGGATGGAAAACATTGAGGATGAAAACCTATTCCTGTTCCTGATCTATTGATTCTGTGGAGGCTGTTTAATATTTTTAATGTCAAGCTTATCCAACAAAACTGTATCAACTGTAACAATAAATGAGGAATTGTATACAGAATTTGATGCAATACTATATTGAGCATATTGCAGGATCTCATTTATTTTGTTGGGAATCTATTCAATGTATTAAATACATTTGAATGCACATTCCTTTGAAAGTAATGATCGTGTATAGCCAAATTGTCAGCTTTATCAGGTAGACCAGACAGGAAACATGACCAGATAAGCTAATTCTACTTTATTATAAAGCTACAATACATTAACAGATTCTTGGAAGTCTGAAAGTACAGATCTTTTGCCAGCTACTTTACAGCCCAAGAAACTAGGGGGCTGTGGGACTACATTGTCTTTTATCTGACCATTCCCTAGACAGCATTTCTTCACCATGTGCCAAGATATTTCCTACATATCATCACACCAATGTTTATATTTTCTATTTTCTATATTCTCTTATTTCATCTGGCCACCAACCCATATGCAGATAGAAGCTTCCTTCTGCATATAGTTTTATCTGATCCAAGCATATTCTTTTAGAAAAGAGAAAAACTCTGTATGATGGGAGAAGGTAGTCATATCTAATTATCCTTTGTTTCAAATAGAATATCAGAATAATCAGGTTTTAAGTCAAATATAGATATATAATATATGATATAGAATATCAGGTTTAACTTAAATAGATCTGGGTAGTTAATCAGTTCCTAGAAAAATCTTGTTTTAACTATTGTCAGTGGTGATTTCAATCTATTTGGCGCCAGATAAATAGCATTTTTATTACTGAGTGAAAGGAATCTATTTCTGTGAGAGAGGGATCATAAAACTCAAAGAACTATTATAGCAACCAATCTGACCTAAAGCAAACCTCAGAGTTATTATAAAAACTGTCAATAATTTTCATGATTTACAATCTAGATTTATGCAGAAACTTTTTTTTCCCTTGGAAACAATGTTCATATATTTCAGACGTTGGACTAATCCCATGAGTCTTTTTGAAAGAGTTTCTCTTGATGATATTTACTTCCTTAGTTTTTATAAATTTGGTTTCTTGGTAAAATATCTTGTGATAGTAAATAGTATAACTGCATTCCTGTGTTACACATACCTAGTTGCTTTTTTGCCATATTTCCAAAACTTGAAAATAACAGTTGTTTGCAGTTTTGGTATCTCCAATGGGAGTTTCCATTATGGTTCTAAATTTTTAAAAGTAATTTTAACAGTAAAGACAAAAAATAAATATAGAAAATGAATGCATATCAATATAAATTGTAAGAGATTAAGTTATCCTCACATAATTCTAAGAGCCGTTACTAAAGGCAATGTATTATGTTAAAAAGTAATAAAAGTCCAACTGATAAACTTTGAATAAACTAATTAATTTATGCAAAGAAACAAGAATTCTGTTGAACTTAAAAAGCATTTTGTTGAACTAAAAAGTTTTCTTTCATCAGTACCCATGTGTCCTATATGTTTTAGAACACTTATTACTGAAGTAACTAATCCATCTGTTTGAATTAGTTAAGGACAAGTTAACAGATGCCCTAAATTGCACTGTAGCCTCCAAAAAACAAAACCTTTTGATTCAGGTCTACATGAGAGTATTTCATCATAACACATTGTAGATGGCAGAATGAAATGAAATGGAAATATTATACAAGGTCTCCCTTTAGGCTTTATTTTAACCCAGGATGTGCTATGGGCTGCACTGATGACCAAGACCTTAACTTAAATTTGCGAAGTTGGAGAAAAAGCAACATAAAATATTGTATAAAAAGCCTATTGGAACAACTTTTTAAAAATATGGACTAGAAATGCTCACATATTTAAATTGAAAACATTTTTTTAAAATTCTTTTAGATTCTTTTTTTTTTAGTTACAGCACTAAAAAAGAAGCGGAAAGAGCTCATTTTAGTATAATAATTTTAATTGATTCTATTGTTTTACAGTTTCACATTAGACAATGAAAGTTTTTTGCATTCTTTTTTTTAACAACCAACCTTTGCTACTAGTGAAACATAAGATATAAACAGGAATTCCAGTTTACAACACTAATTGTAGGGTTCTCTCTTCAAGATTAAAATAAGGTGTGCCTCTCACAGAGAGAATATGCAATTAGGGGCAGCATGTCCTCAGTTGGGAGATGGTAGGCTTCCATCTCCTGCTTACAAACATTCCAGAGGAATCTAGCTTGTTCTTGTGAGAAATAAAATGCTGGACTAAGGTGGGCCTTGGTCTCAGCCAATAGGATTATTACATTTTCTGTGTCAGTAGCTAAGGCAAATCGATAAGACTACAATAGTCACACCAGTTATTGCTCTAAAATTGGGATTTTTTATTTATATTACACAATTATCAAGGTTTAATGTGAGAAGGTTATTAGTTTGCTGCTTTAAGAAAGAGATGCATAGATGTGTATGTTGTATGTACTTGTATGCATTTGGAGAAAGTCTCATTTGAGAAGTCATCTTATTGTATAAGTTTACTATTGTTTGCGGAAAAGTTCCTGTGGAACAAATTTTGCTATATTTCAGTGCAATTTTACAACTGCAATCAGTGTTCAAGTTTGCTGTGTAGATTTACATTTGCTTATAATGACGAAGAGATAATGTTCAGAATGATAGTGCATATTAATGATTTCTTTGGAATGATAGTGCATATGAATTGGGCAGCTAAAACAAAATTGATGAAATAAAAATATAAACATTAGTCACTGAAATAGGCTTAGATGAAATAATGAATAATTCTAGTTATATGAAGCTACTGTATTCAGTAGTTAGAATTAGAAGGTAGGTTACATGATTATGATTTCAGAAATGAATTAAAGAAATGTTGTTGAAATGGCCTCTATACATTTAAAAAAATACATGTAGGAAATAACTAAAAAGGTTAGCACATTTCTGTAATATTTCAGGTAAGAGGAACATGGAATCTTCTCCATAGTTCCTATCATTTACACCTTTTTAGTATAGTAAATGCTTTTTTGATAATAATTTTGACATTGTAAATTCCAAACTTGTAAATTAAAAACACTATTGTGGATGAATTTTGACATCTATGATTTCTTATGTGATAAAGTTTAAAAAGTGAAATGCTTATGTTTTTCACCTTCATATATTAGATTTATAGTACAGTTCATGAAAGTGCGGATACCAGAAAAAGGCTTATTACCACCTTTAAAATAACATGGGCAATAATGTTACAGTTCTCTACAAATAATGATCATGAAATTCGATCAGAAAGTAATATGAGAGACAGGTGACCGTTTCTGTATCATTTTTAAAAATAGACTCATAAGTTGTTGTGTCTAACCACCCCATAATAAATTTTAACAATTATATAAATTGAAGGATAATAAATACACTGTAATTATACAGATTTTTAGGACATTACTCTAAACGTCTTTCAAATGGGTAGCAAGACTTGCAGTGGTCTTGCAAGGTGAAAATCTGTATGCAGTGTGGATACTGATAGACTTCACACTTACTTTCTTTTTTTAGCACACTTTTTTATTTTTCATTCAAACCATGTTTAGTCGATAAACTAGAGAATTAACAATGAGAGAATTCCTGATCCTTTGCAAATGATAAACGTTAAATGCTTTTCCATTTTTGCCACATTTCAGTTCTCAGAAAGGTTGTTTTCTTTGCTTTTACTCATCTATCACAGTGGCAATATACAGTGACATTTCTAACTGCTAGCATGGAAACAAGATAAAAAAGCATTCAGAACAACTGGGAAATTTTGTTTAGACAGAATGTCATACCTTCGTCTTCAGTGTAAATACTGTAGTTTTACCATGTCCAGTTTTATAACATCATTTTATGTAAAATTATATCAGAGTCTGGCTATGAGCAGGAAAAACTATGAAGCTTGTTGAATAAACTTATATTTATCCTGTAATTTAGGCATTCTTTCCATAACACTGCCATTTTATAATATGTAATAAATTTAAAAAGTTGCCTGGAAAAATAAAAAGTTCAAGTGCTCGAAAGAATGTTTAAAATGTGTGCCATCACAATAACTTTTTGAGAGTTGCAAAGGTTTTCAGACAAATGTGTTTTGGCTTATTTACGTTCTTGGGGATCAAGTTCAGGTTAGATAATTGCTACTTAGATTTGCATAGTAATCTAATACCAATATTTTAGGACAAAGGGGGAACTAGGACAGCTCCTGAATGAGCTTAGCTGCACATTTTCCTTAGCCATTCCATTCATTTCTATGACATATTAAAAAAAATGGTGGGGGGGAGACAACTTTCATCCCACTGCCAACCCTTTTATCTTTAAAGCATTCAGTTTCAGGAAATCTTTCTGCCTGGCCTACAGCTTTCAAAGAGTTCTCAGCATTATTCAGAAACTTCAACAATTTTGAGTGGATGTTCCTTTTTCTCACAGAAAAAGAAAATACCTTAGCAAAAATGTTTGTATTCTGAGTTATTCTACTTCCTGTTATTGAAAGCTTTGCATTGTTCAAAAAGAAGCTATGTTTATATACATTATAGTTAGGGATATGGCCAGGCCTATTGTTAAAAAAGATATTATGCAGCCATTTAGCACAGTGCGTCAGCCAGTCCATTGTAAAAGCGTCTTAGTAGTTAAATGAGACTTAGATTTAATGGGATTAAAAGGAAGAAAGAATTTCTTTTACCATACTCTAATGTTTTTTAGGTTAATGTTCTTAAAGGAATAATATTCCTGTGCAAGTAAGGAAATAAGAATAAGACATATTTTTGGCAACAGTTGTGAAGAAAGCACTACTTGTTTACATTAAGATTTCATAAATATCAGACAGAAAGATTGTAAAATGATGTCAGTGCTGAACACCGTCTGAGGTACAAGCCAAACAGCCAATATAGCAGGCTTTCTCCACATATTCTGCAGTTTTGGGATTGTAGATAAGCTTGATAAAGAGGGATTTAAATAATTGAAGGCCACGCCTGCAGTAGAGGTTGTTACCTTACTTCTATGGAATTGTAATAGTGCGAAGAAATTTATTTATCCTATCTATATGCCCATTCATCCATCTGAAATGCTTAATAGCATCTGAATATCTATAAATATCTATAAATAGCATCTGTGGAATCCCCATAAATCTACTTCAAGGGCCAGAGGACACTGGGAAGTAGGCAGGAAAGACCTAAAGTTATGCCTGAAAAAAATGATTGAGATTTAACAAGTTATGAAATAATCAAATAGTTATTCCTGTCCCTTTAAAAAAAAAAGTTTTATTAGCCATTTATGTGGTTAAAAACAAACAAACAAACATACATTTTACAGTAAGCTTTGAGCGAAAGTTACACTTATACTTTTCTATTATTGACATGTTCTACCTTGTTACAATAACTTCTTCGTCCTTTTAGTGTCTTTGATTCTATGCGTATAAATTTACAATTAGTTACACGTCCCCCTTGTTTTCGATATATTGTCAAATTATCATATGTCACCTTTTCTTTAACCAATCATACCAGATATCCCATACCTTATAGTCACTATATTGATTGTTTTTTAAGAGTTTGATTAGTCTATCCATCTCAGCATACTTGTGTATTTTGTTGATTACCATGTTTCTGTGGGGGTTGTGCATTTCAAGCGAGAAATAAATATGGGTGTTTGATTAAGTTATTTGGAAAATATCTTTTTGTTTTCTCAAAAGATTTGATGCCTTATTTATCTTTAGAAATAACTAAGATTTTATATATGGGATAAGGACCAATCTCATCATTAGAGTGCATCTCAATTTTTAAAATCAACACATATACTACTTTTATCCTATTACCTTCTGCCAATAACAGCCTATGGTTTCAATTTAAAAATCTTAAAATATCATTTTGGAAGGTTTAGTTGCAATTTTATTTACATTTACACCATTTACTTTAAGATGCTTTAAGCCATCTTTCAGATGTCAGAACTGATTGTCCTCTCAAGATACTTCATATTCATAAGTAAAACCACATAAAAGGTTACACCAAAGGGATTATAAAAACAATCACGTCGAAACAAAAAAATGTGTGACAAGTTAGCCAACTAAAAGAAGACATTTTAATTTAATTTGGAGGGGGTTTTTTGTATCTGTTTACCAGCATATAATCATCTGGATTTTTTGCAGCCCAGATACAGTAATCATAGTTGAAAACAGTACAATAAAAACATTAAGATAGCAGCAATGATAAATTAAACAGCACCACAAATTATCCAGAGCCTGGCTGTAATAAAAAGCTTGCCTAAAGGTTAACAAGATAAAGGCCAAACATACTGTATGTCTCCAAGGGGAGTAATGTATAAGTTTTTCATTTTATAGAAGTGGGTTCACACAAACTTTTTCTATCTATAAAAACACTTTCTGATATTATCTATCTATATTCAAGTTTTGGAATGGGTGCCTCTAGCCATGAAAGTTTGCATTAATGGTTACCAGCAAGAGCCTTCCTTTCCTTCTGAAGGAAGACAAATATTAAAACATCAGTTAACACATTATGCTTCTCATCTGGGACCCTTTGTAATTCTTCTTGCTTTTTCTTTTGTTTCTGATGTAGCCCTTCACAAGCTTTATGTGTTGTGTTTTCAGCTCAATCTTTGCTATAGCTTTTCTGACAGAATCCCTACAATTTTTTATGGTTGTTTTGTTTCCTCCTCCTTTCCATTTCCTATCAATGTCTCTTTCTTTTGACATTTTTAGGAAATCATGTGCATCTGCAATGGGTTGTTGTTTTTTGTTGGTGTTTTTTATTGAGATTCAACACTTTTTCTTCTGATAGGAAGCATTTGTGGTTGTGTCTTCATTTCCCATCCTTTCCAGATACCTTCCTCTTTCTGAATTTCAAGCACTGGAATTTGCTTACCTTCTGTTTGAGTTCATTGAAATCTGCACTTCCGAAATCCGGTATACAAATCTGACTGTGTTTCTTACAGCTACATTGATATCATAAATTCAAGAATAACTTTTCTTTATCCTAACTTATCCTAATTTTTTAAATTACATTTACTTTTTCAGCCAGTTCCTCTCTTTTTGGCAAGGTTTAGGTCCAGGGTACACTTCCTTATTCCTTCATTCCTTATAAAATTGTTATTAAGAGAGGAGAAGACTTTTTTGGACCTCTGACTCTTGACAGTTTTAGATTTTTAGCAGATACCGCCATAATCTCTTATCATTATTATGTGTCTGTTTGAAAGTTTAGTCACCTAACTCAGAAAGGCTTTATTGCTATCATCTGTCTGCCCACATGGTCTCTTATAAACTGCCATAATAATATCATTTTTATTACCTTCACTGTCCCTTCTTAGCCAAACCCCTTAATGAGGATGTTGATGCTCCAGAATGCTCCCAACCTTTCCAGATTTGTGGACTGGCATTGGTGAAAGTAGGGATAGTTCCTCACAAGCAGCTCTATTTGTGCAAGCAGTGGACGCACATGCACGAATGGAGCTTCGCAAGCGCACAGGCCCATCACTCAAGCCTGGAACCGAGCCATGGCCCTGGGGTTGGGGAACCCTGCTCTAGAATTTGTATTTCTATGCAGAGACATGCCTTCTTTATGTATAGCATAACACTTCTGTCTTTTCTCCTGAGTACACTCGTTTTGTGTAAGCTTTAACCTTCCGGAGTTATGTTCCAATCAGTCATTCCACCCATTTTTAGTGTTGCTTAGGACATCATATTTGATATCCTGTGTTTGTTTGTCTTCTTTGGTGTAGAACATATGAGATTATAATCTATTGGCTTTGCTCTTATAGTTTTCTGGCTAATCTTGATGTCCCCCTCCACTCTCCTGCATCAAGGTGTGTTGCAATTTAGAATTGTTTTCCATTGCTCTCGTTTCCCGTCTCTTTCCAAAAAAGTAATACAATATAGGTTCTCTTCCAATAGGATGACAAATATCATATGTACTTTGCAGATCACCACATCCTTCATGTTCCATGCTGCTTAGAACTGCAAGTAGTCTACACACAGCAATAGTAACTGGGGATTGCTGAAACTGCTGTCACTAAGCAGCATAGCTATGTGGTCTCAGCATTGCAACTGCATTGCTTAGCGATGGAAATTCAGGTCCCAGTTACCATTGCTATGCGTATATTATTTGCAGTACTTGTAGATTACTTGCATTTGTCATTAAACAAATCACAAGTTGTTAAGCGAGAAGTTCCAGTGACCTCAATTTTCAACTTCCTACCAGGTTTCACATTAATTTCCTTGTGAGAAGCCAGTGGTGCAGTCACAAATTGTGATTGCATGACTGTGGAGAACTGCAATGGTTAGAAATCCATGCTGGTTGCTGAGCACAATCACAGAACTATGAGGACATTTTGGCAGCTGGAACTTCAAGGATAGGTCATAACTACCACTCATTCAGCACCATTCCAAGATTGAATGGTCTTTGAATAGTCATTGAATATGTTGGAATCTCTTCCAAACATCCCTTCCTGTTTACTTTACTCAGTAAAGTCTTAATAAACTCCAATAAGAAATATTTATATATTTGAATGAATTCTTATAACTTTTCACTAATAACTTTTTTCTAATAACTTTTTGAGTGAAACCAACTTTTCATTCTAAAGTAAATCATGCTGGGATTGATCAATAGAAAAATGAGCACCCTAGTACCCATTGGCTAGACACTATAAAGGATGACATCAGGATGACTATGGTGGATCTAAAGGAGGCAGAGAGGGGCATGCAGAATGCTGATCCATAGAGTGGCCGAGAGCCAGTCAAGACTGAATAGCTGATGATGATGAATAATATTTTGAAGTCAATTTGGATCTTACAGGTTGCAATCTGGTAACATGCCCCTCCATTCTAACAAGCAGCTACTGACTTAAATGTCCTTGTATTCTTATAATAACAAAGAGGCCAAGAAGCAATCTTGCACTTTTAACCATGATTGAGAGGAAAAGAAGCTCGTGGTACCACCTTCTGCACTTCATGAACAATAGTGGTACCACCATAATTGGTTTCCAACAAGGAATACAGTGAACAATAATAGTACCACCATGACTGGGTTCCAACAAGGGGAATCCAGTAAGTTTTGGAAATGCATACAGATATGAGAAAAACACTAACCCTGTTTTGCATCCACTGTAGAAGCAGTAAGCTACTAGAGGAGGAAAGTCTACTCCTGTGTGTCTTCTGAAGAAAATTATTGTTCTTTTCTGTTTTGCTATTGGCCAGGGGAAGAGTAAAAATGTTTACAAGCAAGGATTTTTGAAGGATTTATGTAGAAGACGGGCTTAATTATAGCAAATGAATTCAGCTGTCATGCTAAATCAAAAGCAAACAAACCATACTATGATTTAGTCCACACATTTGTTTAGAATGAGCTATCACTTAGTGTGATGTATTCTGGGTCAAGATTTTAATGTTCAGAATTCTTTTTTTTATCTTCCAGAGAATTAAAAAAACTTCACCATTGACTTCCCCACCATTTTGCCTTAGAACCACAAAATAGCACTTATTTTTTAATTAATAAGAAACATCTTGTACTATTTACTGCTGACTAGATTCTGCTGCTTTTTTCCTTTTTCTTTTTTTAAGCCTACCTTTCTTTTTCCATTCAAATTTGTCCCTGTTCTTCTCTGGTAGTTTTCATTATAAAGATTGCAAAAGCTTTTTTATATTTAAACTAAGGCTTTTAGCGGGTTGCTCTTTTCTTTTGTTTGTTTGTAGAGAAACATTAATTGATGGCTCTATATAAATAAAAGGAGGACACTGTATACATAATAGTAGCTAAAATATAAGGAACATCACCGAGTTTAGCCTGTAGAAAAGACAGGGTCACTTGTTTTTCCAACAGTTATTACAGCACTGCTGCCTGCAATAAATGATGGGCTAAATTGAACTCGCTAGTATATAGCTAAATAAGATGAATTCTAAAGCTTTACAAAACAACAATATCACCTTAAAAGCCATACTCGTTGAAATATGTCAAGTACTACGACCTAAAGAATTGCAGGGATAATGCACAGATTCTAATTTAAATGTCTCACCCTTGAAATGCCGTGGTGATTAGTCCCAGGTCAGTGCTGTTTCTTCTGGAAATCAAAGAGGTGGAACCTGTTGCTACAACTGAGACAGTCTTCATTTTTCTCACTCCCTTGTCTACACACTGACTAGGCTTGCAATGTTGGAAAAATGGCGTGTAACCATGCTTCTTTAAGCCATGGGTGACTCATGTATTTCCAAAAAGCTGGTATTTGGATAGCACAGTTCTATCTAACAAAAGATCTAGGATAAACAAAACAAAGTGTTACTGCAGCATATTGATGTAACTAGAAAGAATAGCATTTGAGGCTATGTTATTGGGTTGAAGAGGGGGAGGAATGTAACAAGCTCCCTGACTGCATATTTGGACCTTGAGTGCTGTTTATCAGCTATCAATATTATACAATTCTTTCTTCTTGTCATTCTAATTTCTGGTGCTGCTGGCTCTTGACACCCAGCACTTTATCAAACATACAGTAGCTGCTTGGCGTCTACTACGACTGATCTCAGCATGGCTAATAAACAGCAACACCAGGGCTGTATTTTCTGGTTCCTGTCAAGACTGCTGCTTTCCAGGGTAAAATAAAAGTCTTATTAACACGCTCCTCCTCATTGGCTCTGACAGCTTGATTAATTAGCCCTTCCCTTTAGATGCCCTCTGCACTAACATGACAAGAAGGTGAATATAAAATGAATAGTATGTCCATATAATAGGCTACTGTAAGTTTCAGAATGTAATCAGATCAGAATGTCTAGAGTTGAAGACCTGAAATATGAAATATGAAGTCCTTAGTTGTAGAGCAAAAGTTCATGTTTGATTCAAGAACTGAAAAGCAACTATTGACTGCCACTTTGGTTAAAAAAAGTTGTTTTCTTTTGTACTCTCATGTCTTCAAAAAACAAATGCAATTCCTTTTCTTATTATTAAGGAACATTTGCATTAAATTGTAGAGGCAGCATATAATTCAAAAGCCTGCAATAAAATAATACTAGAAATGCTATTGCAATCTTTCTATAGTTAAATGTGATTCTGCGTTTTGTTATGTAGTCTATCCCAGGGGTGGGATCCAACAGGGTTAACTACCAGTTCGGTCATTTACGAGGTTCGGTGATTTACGCTGCCGGCGCGTGCCTGTACATGGTCATCAGCATGCTGCGTGCAGAGAAGCAGCCTTTCAAAAAGCCCTTTTTTCCTGCTTTTTAAACTGCAGCTGTGCCTCGCACGGCGGCTGAAGTTGAAAAAGCAGGAAATAAAGGTCAGGTAAGAGCCTGGATGGGTGTGTGGGCAAAAACATCAACAGACATAGAACCGATTCTATGTCTGCTGCTCTTCAGAGCTACCGGTTCTACAGAGGTGGACAGAACCGGTAGAAACCCACCCCTGGTCTATCCATAGAAATAGAAAATAATTTCAATCTTGTTACACAAAGCTCAATACCTTCAGTCCATGTGGACATTTGGAGGGAAAAGTGTATTGCATTTAAAAAAAAAAAAAAACTTTTCCCTGGTATTTTTGAGATGTTAATATTTTATTTCAGAGACAATAATGTGCAGTTTCCTAAATTCAAGAGGAAGCTTCCTTGTGTATTTATTTATATTCATTTTTGTGGGGAAACAAATTTTTATTTTATTTTACTAGAGTTCTTTCCCACTTTTATTACTTTATAAGTAACTCAAGGTAGTGAACATACATAATACT